AAAAAAGCAAGCACAATAAAAAGAAAAAGAAAAAAGATCTTTATTGTTTTTAATTAGTTTTTTTATTAAAGATATCACAATCCAAATCAAGTAAACTATTTTTACCCAAGATTAAATGTCAAATTTGAGAGATTAATGCAATTTGCCAAAGCAGAACCTAATTCTGATGCACCTTCATCACCAATTTTATTTCTTCTTTTTAAATATTGAAAAAAAACATATCATTAAATAGTTAATTAGAAGGAAAAAATGAAGAAAAAATATGAAATAATAAAATTAATAATAATAAAATAAAAGTTGAAAATAAAATGATGAGCTAAATTAACAAAGAAATAACAAAAAAAAAAGCAAGCAAAATAAAAAGAAAAAAGAGCTTTATTGTTTTTAATTAGTTTTTATAATTAAAAATATCACAATCCAAAACAAATAAACTGTTTTTACTAAAGATTAAGTGTCAAATTTGAGAGATTAATGCAATTTGCTAAAGCAAAACCTAAGTCTGATGCACCTTCGTCATCAATTAAATTAGAACTTTTTAAATATTGAAGAAAAAATATATCATTCAATAGAGTAAGTTACAATACAAATTTATAAAAATAGAGTTTTATATTCCAATTTTTACATTTTATAAAATTTTAAATATTTTTTATGAATTTTTTTCCATCCTAAATTTTCAAAATTTATTTTTTTCAAAAAAAAGATAAGTTATGCTTTCTAAAAATTAGCTTTATTTATAATGTAATTAAGATATAAATTAAATAGATATTTCACTCTAGTTAATTAGGAGGAAAAAATGAAGAAAAAATATGAAATAATAAGATTTATTAATATTTAATAAAATTAACAAAGAATGAAAAAATAAGAAATCATAATAAAAAGAAATAGGAAAACAAATCAAAAAAATTAAAAGAACTATAATGTTTTAAATTAACCTTTTTAATTAAAAATATTACAATGTAAAATATACAAATAAATAGCTTTTATTAAGTGTAAGTTTTAATAACAAATAATGAAGAAAAAATATCAAATAATAAAAAATGAATAATAAATAATTAAAAATTGAAATGAAAATTAAATTAAAATAGCTAAAAAATTTAATTTTAATAAAAATGAATAAATAATGATGATAATATTTTTTATAAAAATTATTTGTTTAAATAAATTGAAAATTAAAATATACAAAAAATATCAATAATAATAAAAATAATATTTTTTAATTAAATATACCGAAGATTAATATGGAGCACCTAATGAGATAAAAGTGAAGAGCTTTTAAACTTTTTTTATTAATTAAAATAAATTTAAAGGATATTAATAAAAAAATTAATAATTACTTCTTCTAAGTTATTATATTTTTTAATCTATTATATCATTTATTTTTTTTTCTTCAAAAATATTGAATAGCAATTTATGAAATTTAATTAATTAATTATAAATTGATAAAAAGAACAAATAAATATAATAATTAATTAATTATCAAATCTTAATTTATATATTTGGTTTTATGAAGAGATTTCAAAGAAAAATTAATTTAACATTCACTATTTAAACTTAATATTTGTATTTAAAACATATACTTAAAAATATAAAGCATAGGAATTAGAGATGGCCAGTTATTTATTTAGTCATTTTTGTAAAATACCTAGTAGTTAAAGTTCTTAAATATTATAAAAATAATGTTTATAAGTATATTTTTCTATTTTATCTCTGTAATTTTAGGAATATTTATAATATCTCTAATTATAGCAAGATGCCCAAGGATTTAGGGGTAATTAACCATTCATTCTAACATTATATAATTGATAAAGGGAATTATAACTCACTCACCTTTTTTCTATTGACAATAGCTGGTTTTTATGGTTAGAGAAATAATTTTCTGAAAATAGCTATAGATCTTAATAATTTCTTATTTTAACTATTTCATTTAATTTATAAAATATAAATTCGAGCTTAGTTTAAGCAAAAAATTATTTCTAAGCTTACAATTAATTTTTGAGTTTTAAATAGAGTACATTGTAAAATAATGATAATTTATTAAAAAGCCCAAAAGAAAAATAATCTGAAAATAGATATTTTATTATTGGTAAAATCAATAAATTTTAGAATAGAGTAAAGAAAATAGATTAAAATATCAAATATTTATTTTTAAATTTTAATTTTCTATATAATTATCGGTTTAGGTTTAATATTTAAATTATTATAATTATCTATCAATTAGTTTGAATAATTCAATCTATTTTATAAAATTCTTATTCATTCAATTTTAAAATAAAAGAAATGCGTTATAAACATATTCCAGAAAATAAGCGTTAAGCATAAATAAATTAATTAATAATTAAAGCTGATAGATATTAGGAATAGAGCGAATTTTTATTTACTCTAATATTTACTAAAAAATTTAAATGGCTATTTTAGTTTTCTTAATGCCGTTTTATTGCTTATTTTATGATTTTTTTTATATAATTTTTAACATTAAATTCAGTTAAAAATGAGATTATTATAATTCAAATTCATTTTAGTTTGATAACAAAAATTGAAGGTTTTACAAAAGCGCTTAAATTTTAGATTTAGAGAGAGTAGGAAATAGATTGATGAAATTAATGTTAATTGTTTATTTTTAAAAACTATCAGAAAAGTGATTAAATTTATATTGATAAATACAATAATTCTTAAACAATACAACAATAGAGATTATAATATTAAGTAAATAATTGGTAGATCAAATTTGTAATAATTAATTAGCAAGAACGATTGATTGATATATAGATAAAAAGTTAGATATTAATTTTCAATCTAGATAATATGAAAACAAGATATTTAATATTAACTCATACTATTTTTTAGTTAGTTATTCTAGTAAGTGGGTAATCTATTCCCACTTAGACTTGCCCAACATTATCATAGTATGATAGTAAGATTATTGAATATATTTTATTTTATTTCAGAGCAAGCGGAAAGACCTTCATTAAATTATTCCTACTTGATAATTGCATATTTTAGAATGTATAAATGACATTAATTTAAATAAATAGTTTTAAAAGGGCAAATTAGCTTCATAAAATATATCTCAGGCACTTCTCTTTATGCAGTAGCTGATAACTAAAATAAATTTGTAGTTGCTGATAGCGATTCAGCACTCATTAAGTCCTCTTTCTAAACTTTTCAAGCTGGTGGTAGCAATTAAAGTAGCTAAATAATTAGTATCGAATTAATAAGTAGTTTAAGCATGTACGTTGTAACTTAAAATGGAATAACAATTAGAGACATCGGAACAATGACAGATTAATAAGTTTAAGGACTTAATCGTAATTTTTTTTTCAAATTAAATTATGTATTTAATAAGCCTTCATATCTAAAAATTAAATAAACAGTAAACTCTATTGGATAACCTTCAGGATCATCAACACCTTCTGTCCCAATAATCACTTAATTTAAGGTCGATCCAACTAATTCAGGCAATTTATACTTTGGGATCAATTTACAGGGACCAACAGATATTTACGTTGCATATTTTTCTAACAACCGTTTATCCTCATTCCAATGTAATAAACAAACAATTATTTAATTCAATTAATTTACAAAATCCAAAATCTATAAAAAACAAATCTGATAACGTTTTTCTTTTTTAGTGTATTTAATATTATTAAAAAGCAATAATAAATTAATAAAATAATATTAAAATAAATAAATAAACTACATTAGTAACTTTGTAATCAAATCCTCCACCACCACCTACAGTAACTTTAATTGGAATTCTTGTAAATTTATAGATTCAAAACACTCAATTCACAGTGGTTGTTGGTTAATATGCTACAAATTTATGCTTTTCTTTCATCTAAATGTCTTAAGATCCTTAGAATGCTGTAAATCCATAATGGGATGTTACTCCTAAATTTCCAAATGGATGCTCTGCAATAACATCTTAATATTTTGATGACAACAATAGCTTAATATATATAGCTTTTTAATGTTTACCAAAAAATCAAATTTAGGTTTATGATATGACTTAATCTAAACTTACTAAAGTTCCTTAACCTCAAGGCCCTGATTAAAATTCTTGGACTTTACCTACTTCAACTCCTCTAAATAGTTAAATAAGTAATAATTAATTTTTATAAGGAAAAACTAATATATAATATTTAAAATAATTATTATAATATCAATAGCCTAGACAATTAATTTGATCAAAAGTGTGACAATAAATAATTCTTAATATTTATTTATGGGTGCTTCTTAATCCAATTAGCAAATGCTAATATTTGGAAGCCTGATCGATTTCAAGTAAACTAGCTATAATTCTGCTAATTTTTAGAATAAAATTACTGCTTTAGACTATCTAACAGGAACATCTACTATAATATTAGGAACTTTAGTATCTGAAATAATTCACTTTAACTATGTCTAAAAATTAACTTCAATAAATACTAAGCCTTCAAACCGTAAGTATTTTAAATTAAAATATTATCAAAAAAAAAATTAATTGTTAGGAATTTTCATTTTAAGCTAATTATAAGCCTTATAAAATGTTTATAAAAAATTAAAAAATTATTTTAATTTACTTTTTATTAAAAAATAAACTTTATTTAAGCTAAGCCACAACTGCTTTCTAAATGACTTAAAAAAATAAAACAAAACAAAATAAATAAATAAATTTTTGCTTACTAAAATATTTTTAGACCTAATATCTATTGTAAGATTTTTTAAAGATAAACTAAAATAAATAAGAAAAAGAAATTATAACTTTTATATTTATCTAATATTTTACAAACATTGAGTTAATATTTATTTAATTAAATAGTTTAAAACTATGATACAGTTTCTTTAGATAGCTCTGATAATTTGTTGATGCTTAGTAGCACTGTTCAGCCTTCAACTGCAGGAACTATAGGAAAATTTAACATTAAATTTACTTAATAAACTTCTCCAATTTCCTTAGTTTCAAATCTTTAAAAAATTTATTGCATAGCAATTTACGATTAGACTACTTTTGCAAGAGCGCTTTTAATTTAAGTCAATAAACCTGGTACTCCTCCTACCAGTACTCTTTAAGTGATGATTGAATTTTAAATATAGCAAAATGATGGTACTTACAAATCTTATCTTTCAATGAGTTTACTTTAAGTTTAAGATATTAATTCACCTATTTCTTTTGTGATGCAATTTACTTCCTCGAAAACAATTGCTATAGCTTATCAATCTTAAACTAGTGCAATAGCAATAGTTACTTATAACTAGAATCCTTCTCCATCTGTAGCAATATCTTACTCTCTACCAGGTATGATCATTTATCTTTTTTAACATTAATTTTTATTTTCTCTTTTTATTTAAAATAAAATCCTAATATTATATAGGTGTCATAAGTGCTAAGTAAATTTGGTTAATAGCAGACTCAAACAACAACATAATTATACCAAATGGACCTAATTTATATTGCTATTAATATACCTAATAACCTCCAGCGCTGACCTAAAATAGTAAAATAAGCTAACTAAGTAAAATATAAAATATTTACCTTATTTAATAAATAAAAAATATTGCTTTTAATTTGAATTAAATTATTAATTTTATTTTATTTATTTTATTCTTTTTGTAATTAATTATTTTTACTTTTATTTATATTTTTTAAGTAATAAATTTTTCAATATTAAATAGGTTTTAATGGCGTACTTCAAAATATTTATTTCTTAACTGGGGATTAATACATTGGAGCTTTTGTAAACTAACCTTAGTAAAATGGAGTAATATCTGTTTTATATATTTATTCATACAATCCTTCAACTATGGATACTACTGTTAAATATTAAACAACAATAATTTCTCAAGCTACTAATCTGATCTATTCAAGCAGCAATAAAATAATAGCAATAACTTCAGGATAACAATACTAACTTTTCTATTTAGATACAGTTAATAATAAACTAACATCTATATTGACTACATAATAGATTGGGTCATCTGTCTTAAATTATTTCATTACAAGCACAGGATCTCTTCTAATTGCTTCATCAAGCGGCATAATCAAGTAAGCTTAAAAATAATTAATTTTACTAATTTTTAAAAAATAAAACACTTAGATTAGATATCAGCTCTAATTGCATAACTTAAACATGCACTCAATGTGCTTTAAATGCTTATTACAATATCCCTTTAACTGCTAATAATCCGAGCTAACTTACAGACTAAAATGGAAGTGGTAAAACAAATACAGATCCTTACATTTCTTTAGCAAAATTTTACTCTTTCTATTGGGATGTCATAAATACTTTTTCCTCTCTATCAAATTAAAGTTTCACATCTATCTACATCGTTAACTACATTTAACTAGGTTCTCAATTCATAAATCAGCAAAATTTGTTTAATATTTATTCAGCAATATCTTCTGGATCTCTTGGAACAGTTTAATAATAACCTTAATTTTCATCAATTTATATAGTTTTTTAGAGTTTTAACAATGCTAATTCTTAAGCAACTAGATACCAATATTTCTTCTCTTCTTCTTTAACATTACCTAGCAACCTAGCTTCAGTTACTTTTTAAGATATTGAATTTTGCTAGTTATCTTAATTTAGTGGAAATTTATTTACAAGCTCTTCAAATTTATTTATGTTGTCTAATGTAGGCTTTTCAACAACTGATGCTCTTAAAAATTATCAGTAATTTCTAAAAAAAATATTTCTTACTTTTATGCTATAAATTTTTCAAACATTCCAATTAAATTTATTTCTTTCTTAAAAAGGGTTACCAGTCTATAAATATAACTTTTAGCAGGTCAGTAATTTAATTTAGCTTAATCTAGCATATCTAACCTCCAGTTTCCTGCAATGATTCCTGCACTGATTAATGTTAATAGTTATTTAACTGTTACAGTAGACACAGTGGTATTTGATGGTTGTAATTTTAATGGAGCGAGTCTTATAAAAGGAAATAATCCTAGTCCATAAGTTATCATAAATAATTCCAAAATACTAAACAGCTAAATAGTTTAAGCTAATTAAGTTTAGGTTTTTATTTCTTTTTCGCAGCTTATTATTACTACATTTACAATCCAATCAAATACAATTAAAAACTTTTTGCTGTTCCAAAATCAAGAATGCACAGATGTAGTTTCTTGCCAGTCCGTATCTGTCTCAATATCTACACTCACTTTAAAATCGAACCAAGTTACTATAGGATCTTCCTAAGTTTAATTTGGGCTCTAAATTAGTTTTAGTTCTAGTAATTTACAAAATTAAATTTGCATTTAAAATTCCTCAATCAGCTAAAACACAGTGACGATTGTATCTTCAGGTTCATGTAAAAATATTTTTAATTAAATATAAAAAACTATAGCAAATTTTTTTTCACTTAGAACAATAGGGCAGTGATATATTGAAATCAATAAGCTAGAATTTCTTCTTGGTAGCAAGCAACGTTTTCAATGTAACTATGATTACAGTCACTTTTATAGATAATGGGGCAACTGGTTTTATGCAAGGAACAAAGATGTAAGGAGTAAATATAACTTCTTTGAGTTGCAGCCAATCATAACTATCCCTCTCTTAGAGTTAATCCAGTTGTTTAAATTTGCTAGAACACACTAAACTCAACCTTAATATTGCTACAAGCTCGTTTAAAAATATTTTTGTGCTTAATGGGTATGTTATATCAATAACAACTTCCTCATTTACTTCAGTTGACTCTGGAAGTTATGATGGTAGTGTTAAAATATCAAATACTTAATTTGAAAATATTTCGATTCAAACAAATTCAGAATTCATTACTGGATCAGTTATTAATTACAACACTTTGCAATAGGATAGTATTATTTTAGATACAGTTACTTTTACTACCATTAAACTTACTACTCCGACCAAAGTATTTTCTCCTCTAGGATCTGCCTTAACTGTGTATGCACCTTTTTCAAATCTAGCATAGACAACTTGTACCTTTCAAAACTTTCAATCAAACGGACCTAAAGTAATTAAGATACAATATAATTCCTTATTAAACCTCCCTCCTTATTTTTCATTTAAAAAAAAAATTTCTGAATTTATGCTCAAAATAAAATCAATAGAAAATTTAAATATTTTTAAATCAAAATTTATGAATTTTTACAGTAATTAAAATAATGTAATAACTTCACAATTTATAATAAAAATTATAGGGTCCTCAAGAAATTAATGTGAGGATATTTTCAATAATAAAAGGGACATTCTTATAAAGTAATTATTAGCAGAACATCTATACTTAAACAGGTGGTTTTGGTAAGTTGACTGCAAGATAAGGTTCTATTGATACTAGTACCTTTTCTTATGCTAATGCTCTAACAGGTGGAGCTTTATACTTAGTTCCTACTATTTCTTAAAGTGTTTTCACAATAACTAACAGCTAGTTTACGATGCTTTCTTCTATTTAGGATGGTGGAGCAATCATGTTTGCTCAGATAACGGATTAGACTACATTAGGATTAACTGGATGTACTTTCTCTTATATATTTTCTCTTGGTAATGGTGGCTGTATAAATTCTGCTTATGTGCTATCTACAAACAGTGATATAACATCATTTACTAATATTCCTACAATAAATATGTCAAAAAGCACTATAAATGATGTATTTTCAACTTAAGGAGGTATACTCTATGTTTAAAATATGAATTTAAATATAGATAACATGACTGTAAGCGGAATAAATTCAAATATTGCTAAAACTAGTAACAACGATGATGTTTCATAAACACTTAAAGATTTTGTTAATTTTGGTCCCCTATTCTATATATACCAGTCAAATGTTTCTTTTAAAACTAGTGTATTTGATGCTTTAAAAATACATTTATCAATTTCGTAAAATTAAGATACGAACTTTATGGTCTCAACCTATAAGTCAATCTTGAATTTTAATGATCTTAACATAACGAATGCTTAGTTTTCAAACTCCAATTTTATTGTAATAAGTAATTCAACTTTTACATGCACTACTTTAAACATTACTACTGCTCAGTAAGCCAATATTTTTAAAATAATTTTTTACTAATAATCTTTACACATTTATTATTTAATTTAGATATTAAGCTCAATCAAGTACTAGATTGCTTAATTCAAGGGCTATTTTATAGGAAAGAAGCACTAGATTATCATAAATAATACCTAAATAATTAGATGCAAGATTAAAAATATTAGATAAGAATGATAGATTATTTGATATAAGATCTAGATTGCTTCATAAAAGTTTTAGGATATTATAATCAACGTAATCTATTGATGCCTCTCAAGCTATATCGCTTTTAGTAATATAGAAGCTTTCTACAATCACAGCTACTGGTATTTATATTTAGAAAGTTACATGTTCAGCTGCTAACTGTTTTGGTGGCGGTATTTTAATTAATTAATCTTCTGGTTCTGTAAGTTCATCTAACATTTCTTTCAATAGTGCCACTTACGGTGGAGGATTTGCTATTTACAATCCTTCAAATACTATAAATATTCAAGGTGTAACCTTAAACAATAACACAGCAAGTTCCAATGGAGGTGGATTATTTTTTTATTTGACTAGCTCTCAGCAATTACTAAACATACAAAAGTCTACTTTAGATGGAAATGTTGCCAATATCGGTGGAGGAGCATATTTAAACTAAGTTGTTGCTTCAGCTAGCGATCCAAGTAAAGTCATTGTCACAATTACCGACACTAGTATTTCTTCAAATACCTGCAACCTTTACGGAGGTGGTATTTCCTATGTTGGAGTAGATCCAAGTATGACAAATACCAAACTCCTAGATAACCAATCAAGTATTTATTTTATAAATAAGCCTTTAATTTTGACTCGAAACCTATAATTTTATTAACTTATCCTTAAATTTGTATAACTATTCATAAATTTAATTTAATTTTATCACTTAAAAAGAAACTAGTTTTGGTGTTAATAAATTTTCTTCTCCTGCAAGCTTAGTTTGGAACAAAGAAAAAACAAATAAAAACTCTGCAAACTAGATAATTCTAAATTAGACAAATGTTAATGGTGTAGTTGTTTATACTTTACCAGATCAGTAAAGTGCCTAAACGGTCACCCCACTTATTTTTAATTTACTTGACAGTGATAATGCTATTATTACAACAGATTACACTAATTTGCTTACAACTAAAGTAACTTCTACTATTACTGTAGATTCTTCTTTGAGTACTAAGATATATCTAACAGAGCAAAATGTATACAGCTTTGACCCTAATAATTACTTCAACTATACAAATATTAATATTGCAGGTATTCCTGGCTCACCTGTAATCTTAAATGTTTAATCCAACTAAATTATAGATCCAGTCACTTAGTAGGAAGTTTATAAAATTGTCTTAAAATTTAATCTTCTTTACTGTGTGAGAGGAGAAGTTTTTTAAGCATTCAATTTTATAACACCAAATGATGGAGCTAAAATGTTTTATTAATGCAATTACTGTAAAAGCGGAACGTAATTAATTGTTTTTACTTATTCTTAATAATATTTTATTTTTTCCTTTATTTATTTTAGATTTTTCCTTCTTATTAATTAATACTTCACTATTCATTTTATTATATTTTTAAAGGTATTCTATAATATATCCCAAACTTGAAGACACAACAGTGCACACTTGCTAAAAATGCTCAAATAATGCTTAATGTCCAGGAGGAGATGTAATTTAAGTAAATCCAAGCTATTGGAGAATTAATGATTAAGATGATTTGCTAATTTACTGTGAGAATGCTCCAGGTAACTGTTTGGGAGGAGCAACTAATTCTACTTGCTCAATTGGACACGTTGGTGCTCTTTGTGAATCTTGCGATATTGAGAATAATTACACTAGAGCAGGAAATTTCTAATGTGCTAACTGTGGAGATGTTTTGCTTAACTCACTAAAAGTTATTGGGTTAATGGCGTTTTATGTATAAAAATTTTGAATTTTTTTAATTTTATTAAGAAATTTTAGCTTTTAACTTTTGCTTCTAATATGCAAAGAAGATTAATAGCATTTTTTATTCCTAAAATATGTTACTTCCAAAAGAGATTTTTAGTTAATCATTTTAGAAACTATATTTTAAAAAATAAAATTAAAATATTTTAGGTTTTAAGTGCAAAAATGAGTGTAAATGGAATTTTAGGAAAAGTTTAATAAGAGTGGCATGGTAACGTAGAAATGGAAACAAATGCTTCAATTATTTTAAAGTTATTCTTAACATATATTCAAATCATTATGGTTATGACAACTTTTAATATTTCAGTTCCAAATACTTTGAATACTGGAGTTTCATCTGTATCAAGTCCAACAGTTCAAGTTCTTTATTCATTTGAATGTTTCTTTTACTAAATATCGCTGAAAACAAATATAAATATCATTTACATTGCTTTGATATTTGATCTAATTCTACCTATTATTTGCGTTATTATGTTTGTGCTATCAGGATTAATATCTTACAGAAATAATATTTTCTATAAATCATTTTATATATATACATCTCTTTTATATTGCTTGATGTATTTCCAGCCAAACATCTTTAAAGATGCCATATCTCTAGCAAGCTGTAGGGACATCGGTAATTAAAACTTAACATTTTTTAAATATTAAATACAATTTTTTTTTTTGCATTATTAATCAGGAAGAAAATCATATATTAGATATAATGTATTCTTTGAGTGTGATACAGATGAATATAAAGTTTGGACTGTTAGATTTGTTCTCCCAGTTATATTGGTGCTTGTATTTATCATACCAGGGCTAATTTTATGGAGAATAAAAGTAAATTAAAACACTAAATTAGGATAAAGAAAATTCAGCTTTATGACATCTGAATACACATAAAAAGCTTTTTATTGGGAAATTGTAAAAATGAACTTAAAGCTATTTATTATGTGCAGTTTGAATTTTTTAGAACACGACTACCCAAACAAGGTTGATTTTATTTATTAATTTTCATATTTTTAATTGAATAAATTAAAATATTTTTTTAATTTAAAAAGATTATGTCAATATTCTTTTTAGTCGTGGTTTATGGTGTTTTACTATTTTTTGTCAAACCTTATAACAAAGAATTATATAATACAATTGATAAATACTCAATGGCAGTTTTATGCTTATCTATTTATTTTGGATTTATAGCTTACTATAACAATGCTACTTTCTGGGTTTGGTTAATAGCAGTGGTATTAATTGGAATTTTGAACATCATTTTTATCATTTGGTGCATTTAAAATCTTATTTTAGCATATATTCCTCTAGTTAAATCATAGCAGAAAAATTATTACAATATTCTTATGAGCATCAGATTTATTAGAAATAAGTTCTTTTCAAAAGAGAGAAGAATAAGATATTTATGGATGTTCTGGATGAAAGGATTAATAAAGTAATTAAAAGATATGAAACTGTATAATCCATTATCGTTTGATCCAGAAAAAAATAGAATTTCACGCAAAATGATTATAAAAGCTCTAAAAGAAAAGACAAAAGTAAACAAAAGTGTTTATTTTAATGTAATAAAATTATTTTTTTAATAAAAAAAGGAAGGAGAGCTATAAATAGGCTATGAATCCTAAGATAAAAAAGATGAAGATGAAGACGATGACGAAAATACAGAAAAAGGTGATAAAAAGAAATATTTAAAAATGAAAGTCATTGACAACAACAAATTTAGCAGTGTAAAACTATTAGAAGTAATTCCATTTTATTCAGTTATTCGCTTTAAAATTTCAATTTATTTTTCTTTCGAATAAAAAAAGAAATAACTTTAGAACGTTGATACAAATAAAGGTTCACCTCCTACTTCATATCTGACAAGCACACCTATAAATTAAGAATAAATTGCATTAGATATTAAATGATTTTAATTTTAATATAAATTTATATTTCTTTAGTTTTTAAGTCTTTATTTTTTTATTTATGCAAATTCTACAAAATAAGAGATTTATCTATCTATCTATCTATCTATCTATCTATCTATCTATCTATCTATCTATCTATCTATCCAATCCATCTAAAATTTAAATTATTAAATGTTTAAATTATTTATTTTTTTGTAAATAAATAATTGAACATTTACTAATTCATTTTAACAAAGTATTTTAATGAAAAAAAACTTAAAAATTTCTATTTAAAGTGAAATTTAATTAATTTTATTTACCAAAAGATACTACATAAAATAAATTTATTTATTAAATTATTCTTTGTAGATTAAATTTTTGGTTTCAAATTGATTTAATTAATAATGTTTCAGTATAAAATTAACTATAATTGGTTAAATATAATTTTTTGTATCAAAGTGTCAAAAATTTAATTAATTTACTATGCTTTTGTTGACAAAATTATTTATTTGCTGTTCTAGTTTACAACACAAAATATGATTCGCTCATTTTTTTTTAAACAGTTAAGCAAATTGCGTATATTGAATTATTTGAAAATCAATTAATTTAAAGTATTTAATGCTACAAAAGTAAATAATTAATGTATTTTTATTAAAATTACTACTTTCATTACACTTATTACACTTGTAGAGAGATGGTAAATTACAAATGATTTCTTTTTAAGTTATTTTAGCCTTGCTTATTTTTTTTTGACTTTAATATGGTGATATAAAAAAAGAATAGAAGTTTATAAAAATACACATAATATTTGAACAATTTTTGTTTCAATCTAGATCAATGAGAAGAAACTTGAGGTTAAAAAAGTAAATTTTATGGGTGATCAATGGATTTAATGAAGAAATAAGGTTTATATAAACCTCTCTATTAAATTAAAAATTATTAATTTATTTCAAAAAAAAAAATCGTTATCAATTAAAAAAAAGATAAAGTTAATAAGGATATAATCGTCTAAAAAGGTAGAACCATTAAATAATAGCAAAATAGTATAAAAATTATAGAAATGAGGTAGCGGTAAATAGTTTTTCTTATAACTGTTATATTTGTCATACTTTCTCTTGGACTCGTCTCAGCAGCCAAGAATAATACCATGATAGGATTGGTAATTTTCCATCGTCATGGTGCAAGATTGCCGGCAGTCGAAGATTATTATGCTCAAGATTGGCCTGCAGATAGAATAAAAGGTGACTTAACTGACAAAGGTATTGCTTAGTTACTAAAGGTAGGTAAGAGCATCAGAAAGAAATACGTTGATGAAATGAAATTCCTTCCTAGAGCTTATGATCCAACAATTTTCAAAGTCAGAATAGCTTAATTGTCTAGATGCATGCTTAGTTTACTGTCTCTTTTGAATGGACTTTATCCTGATATTTACCAAAGAGAACTATAGAACCACACTTCTCTTCTTAACCCTATCAAGTAATTCCGTTTTAGCACCAACTTAGCTGACCATAGAGCAAGAGATCTCATATTTAGAGCTTAAAGTTCTAAAAACTGCAAGATGATGGGACACATCTATCATCGTAGAATGAGCGAAGATAAATTTTCAAAAATATATGAATTTTTCTATAAACATCCAATTATGAATACAACTTTAGCAAAATTATAGCGTTATAGAGAAGAAAGAAAGGGCTAACCTATCAATGTTACAAATATGTACTACATTAAGGAGGTCTACGACAGTTATCTTTGCAATAAAATTTAGGGAAATCCTGTTCCTAGTTGGAATAAAAATGAGCTGAAGTTATTGCAATACAATTATGAGATGTTTTTCTACAGTTATTTTGGTTTTAGAGAAGCAAGAAAAGTCACTTCGACTAAATTCTTTGAAGAAATATTTTAATTTTTCAGATAATTAATTGCAAATCCTTCACATTCAGAAAAAATGTTTATCTTCTCAGGAACAAAAACGAATATAGCTATTATTCTTTCAAATATTCTGATTAAAGAATAGATTCTTTCTCTGGGAACTGAAAAAGTGCCACCTCTTTCAGCCACATTGTTTATAGAACTATGGGAAAAAGCAGAAAAACCAGATTAACCCTAGCTGCCCCCTAACGAAAGATACTACTTTAAGATATTTTATGGCAAAAAAGAATTAGATATTATGATTTGCAAAAATACAAAAAGATGTACTTGGAGAGAATTCAAGATACTTTTAAAAACGCGTATAAAACCAAATATAGCTGATTTTTGTGATTTAGGAAACATTTATGACTTCCCTAACTATGATAACTGAGCACAAAAAATATCTATTTAACTTCCTTCTATAAAATATACTAATACTTCGTTTCAACCAAAATTTACAAAAATATTTTCATTTATAATTTCTGTATTTATTATTATTTAGTTTACCATCAAATAAATATATTTTGATTTAAACTTAAATACATGTAAAGTAGTATTTATCAATTTTTGAATAAATTGTTTTCCTTCAATATATTTTTTTTAACAAATCTTTTTCATCTCCAAACATTTTTAAAAATGCCGCCATCTATCATCATATTAACTTATTTATTAATAATATATTTAAAGGAGAGGTAGTGCCTATTTTTCTTAATATTAAGTTGATATTAAAAATGCATTTAAAATATTTTTAAAATTTATATTTAACTAAATATCATACATTCTCATTAAATAAGATTATTAAAAATAGATTTTTACTCATATTAGAGATCTCAAAAATTCTTTCAATTTCTAGCCATAATATAATATGGCATTTTAATTATTTAGGACTTACGATATATAGTATTTATTTTAATTGATTTGTATTTCATTTTACTCATTGATTTAAAAGGTATGATTTGAGATTACAGATATCTAATAAACTAAAAAATTGAAGATAAAATATCTTTTTATTGAAAGATACTAAAATACATGGTTTGTTTTTTACATTAACACATTAAATTTTAGAATAATTTATAAAAGGTGGTGAAATTATATATTGTATTAATAAGATATTCAAATTATTTTAAGAATTAAGAATTTATTTACTAAACATTAAGAAAGAAAGAAAGAAATAAATAAAATCAAGTCAAACAATATGGAGAAAAAGTTTTGTTAAATTGAGGATGACTCTTAATTTGAATTAGATTTGTTAAGAATAGATTTACCCGAAGACTAGAGATACATAATATGTTAAAGGTGTCTTACTTGGTAGCAGATTAATGGAAAAAGCGTTCTTCATTTTAAAGATATCATGGAAAATGATGATAAAAAACTGGTTATGCCTAATTGGCCTATATTTATAGATGAATCATAAAAAAAAATTCAAGATGATTTAAAAGATATATTTAAAAATTCTCAATAGAAATATTAAAATATGATAAATAAGGTAGAAAAATTTTATTAAGGCTTTTAAGATATTGTAAATCATGAAATAGTTTCATCAAAGAAAAAGATGATCGAATAGGTCAATAAATATGAAAATCTAGAAAATGAGCTCTTGAAATAATATAATGAGATTTAGTAAAAGTAAAAGTTGTAGGAGTTCCAATAAAAGCTAACTAATGGAGAGGGAAAAGAAGATTTTGTAAAATTTATCAAAGAAATGCGAGATAAGAAAGTAGAGCACACTAAATTAATAGAAGATGAAATAAAAAAATATAGGAATAAAATGTCATTATTTGACTGCAATCAGCCAGATAAAATCCTTAAAGAGGTCATAAATTTGGTGAAAAAAATTAGTTTTTTTAAAGATACCTAATAAGAAGATGAACCATTTTAAGATTTAATAGCTGAAAATTAAGAATAAAATAGATAAAATATTAAAAAAGTATTTCATCTAATTTCTAACAAGTCAAATTTTTGCAACCAAAAATTTTTAATTGAATTCGAGTAGTTCTTGAACAAATCAACTTAGTTATTGACATAAACAGTAGACTTTTCTAATATTCACATATTAAACTATGAATAGCCTATTGATTTTTCTTAGGTTTCATTAATAGCTTTAAAAGAAATAGTAGAATCTCCTTAGATTAATAGATCAAATAGCTTTTTATAAAACATTCAATAGTCTTTTCTAGCCAACATCTTTATTGATTATAAATTGAACATACCAAAGAATTTATTCTAACTAATAGAAAATTAATAATCTAAAAAATATTTGAATATCAGCACCAACGGCAGCAGTATTTAAATTGAAAGGATAGGATAATTACTTAATAACCAACATATAACAGAAAACTTTTAAAACACTTTTGCAACTGCTGTTACTACATTTGATATTAAAAAAGAGTTTATGCATATCTTTAGATATAAATATTCTAAAAAAATTAGCAATTGTGGTATCTATGCTGGTTTAATTTCAGAATAAAACCTAAATAATAGTCTTAAATCTGATAATTACTTCATTAGTGGCTTAGATGATAATTGCTTTAAAAAAGTTATAAGATCATACTAAAATCAAGATTATAAATAATTATTTTAAACTACTGATACTCTTGAGTTTAGAGTTCACATTGAAAAAAATCTTATCTCAGTCATGGACTACCCTAATTATAACTTCATAATAACAGTTGACCAAGTAATGTTTAATTAATAAATCAATTATAGGTTTGGTTTTGATTTTTATCAACCTGAAGAAAAAGTCCAGTTAATATACTTTGATATCATATATTAATTATGAAAAGTAACAAATTAATTTTCTCCAATTTATATTTATTTATATATTGTAAATCTTCATAAATATCATATAAATTCATTAACTTAAAATATTCTTTTGAAATTAAAAATAATTTTATAAATTCTATAATAAAATTATTATTTATTTAAAGACCTATCTATAATTATACAGTATCTAATAGTAATAATTTACTTAAAAAAAGAATATATCGAATTAATAAAAATAATTATTTTTAATTATAAAAATAAAAATATTAAAAAGCTATCGCAATAATTTCTTCATAACTATTTTTGAATTAATATTTTATTTATTAATTTTTGTGTATTTTAATAGATTTTGCAGAAACTATTCATAATAATAATTTTCTTATTTTTAAATTTTATTTATTATTTTTTGTTTGTTTTCCTCAAATAAATTGTTGTTATATTTTTATTTATTTCTTAAGAACAAATTTAATTATATTATTTTAAAATATTTTATTTAAATATAAATACCTTTTAGTATTGCTAATATAAATTAAAAAAAAATTTTTATTAATTAATATTTCTTGTTTTATTAATTTACAAATAGATATTTCATTTTATTCAGTATTTGAAAAGGAATGATTTGAGGCTATAGATATCCAATTAACTTAAAAATTGAAGATAAGATATCTTTTTATTGAAAGATACTAAAGTGCATGATTTGTTTTTACATTAACACAATGATTTTAGAATAATAAAAAAGGGTGGTGAAATTTTATATTGTGATTATAAGATATTCAAATTATTTAAAGAATTAAGAATCTATTTACTTAACATTAAGAAAAAATTAATAAATTCTAGTCAAACAATATGGATAAATATTTTTGTTAAATAGAGGATCATTCTGATTTTTAATTAGATTTGTTAAGGATAGATTTACCCAAAGACGAAAGATATATAATATGTTAAAGGTGTCTTATTTGGTAGCAGATTAATGGAAAAAGCGTTCTCCATTTTGATGATATCAAGAAAAATGATGAAAGGCTGGTTATGCCTAATTGGCCTCTATTTATAGATGAATCATAAAAAAAAATTCAAGATGATTTAAAATATATATTTAAAAATACTAAATAGAATTATAAAAATATGACAGATAAGGTTTTATAATTTTATGAAAAGTTTTAAGCAATAATAAATCGCGAAATAGATTTGTCGAAGAAAAAGATGATGGAATATGTTGAAAAATATGAAAATCTAGAAAATGAGCTCTTGGAATTATATAAAAAGATTTAGTAAAAGTAAAAGTTGTAGGAGTTCCAATAAAAGCTATCAAAAGGAGAGGTAAAAGATGGTTTTGTAAAATTTATCGAAGAAATGCGAGATAAGAGAGTAGAGCACACTAATTTAATAGAAGATGAAATAAAAAAATATTAGAATAAAGTGTCATTATTTGACTGCAATCAGCCAGATAAAATCCTTGATAAGATCATAAATTTGGTGAAAAAAATTAGTTTTTTTAAAGATACCTAATTAGAAGATGAACCACTTTAAAATTAAATAGCTATAAATTAAGAATAAAACATAGAAAAAGTCTTTCATCTTATTTCTAACAAGTCAAATTTTTGCAACCAAAAATTTTTAATTGAATTCTAGCAGTTCTTGAATAAATCAGCTTAGTTATTGACATAAACAGTAGACTTTTCTGATATTCACATATTAAACTATGAATAGCCTATTGATTTTTCTTAGGTTTCATTAATAGCTTTAAAAGAAATAGTAGAATCTCCTAAGATTAATATTTCAAATAGCTTTTTATAAAACATTTAATAGTCTTTACTAGCCAACATCTTTATTGATCTTAAATTGAATATACCAAAGAATTTATTCTAACTAATAGAAAATTAATAATCTAAAAAATATTTGAATATCAGTACAAACGGTAACAGCATTTAAATTGAAAGGGTAGATTAATTACTTAATAACCAACATCTAAAAGAAAACTTTTAAGACATCTATGCTACTGCAGTTACTACATTTAATATTAAGAAAGAGTTTATGCATGTCTTTAGATATAAATATTCTAAAAAAATTAACAATTGTAGTATCTATGCTGGTTTAATTTCAGAATAAAACCTAAATAATAGTCTTAAATCTGATAATTACTTCATAAGTAGTTTAGAAGATAATTGCTTTAAAAAAGTTGTTAGATCAAGCTAAAATCGAAACTATAAATAATTATTTGAAACTACTGATACTCTTGAGTTTAGGGTTCATATTGAAAAAAATCTTATCTCAGTCATGGACTACCCTAACTATAACTTCATAATAACAGTTGACCAAGTAAAGTTTAATTAATAAACCAATTATAGGTTTGGTTTTGATTTTTATCAACCAGAAGAAAAAGTTCATTTAATTTACTTTGATATTGTATATTAATTATGAAAAGTAACAAATTAATTTTTCTCCAATTTCTATTTGCATATTGTAAATCTTCATAACTATCATATAAATAAATTCATTAACTTAAATTAATCTTTTTCAATTAAATATTTATTCTTTTCAATTTTTAGTTATTAATTTTAGGGAAATATAAGAAAAATCATGGTAAACATGGTTTATATAATAATAATAATAATAATAATAATAACTGTTAAAGACGAATTTTGATTAAAAAATGTATTAGATAATTTAACAGCATTAAGAAGAAATGCATAATTTAATAAAAAAGTGTATTATTTTAATTTAATTATAAGTTTACATCTTTTTTAATTATCACTTTAATGAATTAATGTTTTGATTATTGTTTTATTGATTGATTGGTTTATTAATTTTTAAATTTCACTGAAGCTAAAAAATTAAGGTTAGTTTAGCAAGTAAAAGTTGTTATTACTTAATTCATTAATAAAAAGTTTTGTTATGCAAAAATTAAAGATTACAATATTAAAAATTAAAATGAAAATTAAAAGTTAATCTTTAGTTTTTTGTAAATTTTTAAATGGAAAATTAATTTAATAAATTTATAGTTTTGAAATGATAGGTTAGCTTATGTTTGTATGTTTGTTTTGATTAAATTAAGTAAAGTTTTTAATTAATTTTCTCATAAATAAACAGATTAAGGATAGTAAATTAGTTAATTTTTCACTATAAAAGTGAAGAGAGAGATTTAAGATAAGATTATTTGAGGTCATTCATCCATAATTGGTTTTTATGCTAATATTTATTAATATTTTGCAAAAAAAAATAACTCTTGAAAAAAACAAATTATTTATATTTAGATCAAAAAGATATTAATGAAAGGCAAAACACCAACAAATTCAAGGTCTGCTATTTTCGATAATAGCAAGCTAAGCAGCTAAAATAAAATGAAGGATTAATAAGATTACTAATAAAAAGATTCCCTGCTTGACTTTAGTGCTTACGAAGATTACGGGCATGCAAATAAGTTAAGTAAAAAAAAAAGTTAGCTAGAGAGTATGACGAAAATTAAATCAAGAAATATTCCATAAGATGAAGATATTTCAGAATTAACTTCTCCAAAGACTAGCAAGAGTTCATAAATCCCATAGTAACTCAAAAAGCCTTAGTTTTCCAAAGCTTTCTTAGATGACTTTAAGAAGTACATTGAGTATAGATAGCAAAAAAAAAATTAGTAGAAATCATAAATGCAATCATTAGTGTTTAGTGATTTGAGTACAAGGAAATCATAGACAAATATACCTCTAACGGCAAATAATCATAACAATAACAATAATAATAGCAGTAATAATAACAATAAAACAGAATAAAATGATTTGGAAGATGCTATGAAGTAAGAATATTAAGCGAAAGTACAAAAACACAAGGATTAGACTAAAAAAATTATGTTGGAAATAAACAAAAAATTGAAAATTTAAGCCAAAAGCAAACAAGAGCGTTTTGAAGATCAAATGTAGGTATTTAAAAACACAGATACATACATAGAAATAAAGCCATTTTTAGAGCAACTTAACAAAGTTAACCATTCAAAATTTATATAACAAATTGCTAGATATGAGAATAATATCAAATAAGCTTAAGAATATTAATAAGAGGATGATTTATTTAGAAACAGTAATTCTGATTTTTATCAAAAATTCTATGCAAATACTCCTAAAAGAAATGAAGAACTATCAATGAGAAAGTTTGAGGATTTATTGACTAAAGCTTAGTCTTACATAATTCATTCAAATAATTTATAATCTTATAAATTCCTTCAAAATAGTATAATTTAGAGGCTTATGGAAGAGCTAGGATACTTTGATCCTAATATATCGTCATCAGATTCGCAGTAGTAAAAAGAAAATGTGTCTGACAACTTTGACTTTAATTCATAGTTGAATGATTAAAGCACAAATAAAGATACTAATCCAAATAGAAAGTATTCAAAGTATGCTGAAAAGGAGTAATAAAAAAGTGATTAAATAAATGAATTGCCTAAAATAAAGCGTAAGCCCAGTCTGCAATTAGGCGATCTAACATCTGATGATAATTAATTTTTCATAAATCTTAAAAACTACCTCAACAAAGCATAGAAAGATATTAATTTAAAATTGGAATTAGAAACAGAGCAAAACACATATGCCTAAGTGATCTAAGAGAACCAAAGAAAAATTGAAGAAGCCAAACAAGAGTAAATTAAAAGGTTCTTGGGAGGTAAGCTAAATCCTTAAAACTTACTTGAAGGGGATAGAGATGTTTAACTTAAAGAGTATTATGAAAGGTAAATAAATTTAATTTATACTCAGTTGCTTTTAGTGTTTTAATAGCAAAAAAATATTTTTAATACAAAGCAACATTTGATAAAATTATAAATTTCTTTTTTTTATAAAAAAACTCTATACTGCTTGCTGGCTGAGTTTTTGCGTTGAGAAAAAAATTTATTTAAATTGAAAATTAGATTTTTTTTGGAAGACTTTTTTATTAAAATATTTTTTTTTCTCAAAAATAATTAAATAAATTTAATTTTTTTAAATAATTTCTATGTAATTATTTATTTAGATTTCGTTTGAAAGCAGAGCAGGTGAGAAGTACTTTACATAAGGTAAATCAATAATTGTTTTAGAAGAAATGGGCAAATGCTTAGATAAAAAGATAAATGTAGAGATAAAGGGAGAGAAACCAATTGCTTTCTTAATTTAAGAATAACAAAATAAATAGTGATGAGTTGCTCAATCCTTCAAAAAGAATGAATGAAAAATTGCTCAGAAAAAAATAGAATTAGAATGATGGCATTTCATAAAGCCAAAGTAAGGCTTAATAAAGTCACAATTCTTTAAATGACCTATCAGTTGATTAGCAATATATAAATTCACATGATAGCTATAAAAATAGGAATCATGAAATATAATCTAGCGATGATTAAAATATTTACTTAACTGCTCCTGTTGAAATCCATTCTCAGCAGCCTCTAATAAAAAGCACACCAAATTCCATGAGTTAAAGAATTAAAGACTTTAGTCATGATAATAAATTGAAAACGATTTAAGAAAAAATTAACAACAACAGTAATAATAGCTTCAATTTGCCTCTTATTCATAGCACTAAAAATTTACAATCATCTCACATGCTCTCTCCCAATAAATTTAAATAAAATGAATTTGGTTTACAAGTCTAAACTAACAAGCAGAGTATGTTTGATAAGAATAACAATAGTAGCTTACCTCCCTAAGTTGTATTAAACATAAAATCTAACAACGGTCAAACTCCATAATCAATTTTAAGCAAAAGAAACAGCGCTTCAACAAACTTTAAAGCTAATTAATAGGACAGTCCAACAAAGAAAAAAAACTCAATACTATTTTCGTAAAGATCGCCTTTATTCTAGCAGATCCAAACTGAAGAAGAACAAAATAAAATAGAATAAATTATATAAGAAATCGATGAAGAACATAATGAGTACATTCAAGAAAAATCTAACATTAAAAGCTAGCTGGAATTAATAAGCCTCAGTTACGATAAAGAGATGTCAAAATATTAAAAAAATGATAATATTGATTCAATTAGAGGAATATAATCTGACATACCTTAACATGAATACCACTCTGGACTTAAAATTTTTTAAAGACAAAGTAGGGTCAGTCGTTTCTGATTAAAAAGAAAAAAAAACCTCTTAAAAATAATAAATTCGTTAAAATCAAAATTTAAATCATATTTATTAATTCTAATAAATCATCTTATAATTACTTAGAAATTTATTTTAAATAACTTTTTTACTATAAATAAGAAGCTTTTAAAATTATTATTAAAGTTTACAAATTTTAAGTATAATTTATATTCTAATTTATTTTAAAATTTACATTTATCTAAATAAGTTTTTATAAAAATAACTAATTAATATTTAATATAAAATTATTTAAAATAATTGTTTTTTTTCTAATTTAAACAATTTTAATTAAATAAATTTTTAGCAAAGTCATTTGCTTTTTATTAATGATTGATTCTTCAGTTAAAGCTGTTTAATTTGCAATTTATTTCTTATAATAAATTTGTTTATGTTTTTTAGTATTTATCATTAAAAAAAATTTTTACACAGGATGGGACTTGAACCCACAACCTCCGGTTGATAAGACCGTTGCTCTAACCGTTGAGCTACCTGAGCTTGTAAGATAAAATGAATCAAAAAGCAGAAGGTTTTATTAAAAGAATTCTTTTAAAATTTTAATTTTATAGAGTTTGTTTTGAATTTTTAAAGGATATTTAATAAAAAAATTAAAATATTTATCATTTACTGGAAGAAATTGTAAAATTGAACAAATAAAATAACTTACTTTTTATAATTAAAATTAAATTGAAAAAAGTAAGAAAATTTTACACAGGATGGGACTCGAACCCACAACCTCCGGTTGATAAGACCGTTGCTCTAACCATTGAGCTACCTGAGCTTGTGAAATAAAAAGATAGAAAAAAGAGGAGGTTTTATAAAAAGAATTTATTAAAATTTATTAACATAAAAAGTAAAATAGAGAAATTTACATTTAAATTAATAAGAAATAAATAAATAAATGAAAATCTGAGTATGGAAATAATTAATGGCAAAATGAAAAAGGTATATAAAAATAAGAACATACATCGGGGTATTTATATAGATTTTACTAGGATACATATTAATTTGTTAGTTAATTAATTTGCTTTTATTTTATAGTATATTGAACCAAAAAATATAAAAATAAATCAGCTTAGTTCCCAAGAATTTCTTTCAGACTCGCTAAAAAATATTTAAAAATGGGCTAGCTGAGATCATCTGTCAATTGTTTTCTCTATCAAATAGTAGTTCATTCTTCTTATTACTTATTAATTAATGAAGCTTCAATTGATCCAGTGTTTGCAAGAGCTCCGGCTTAGAAGATGTTAACTACATTTCTGTCGTTTAAGCTTGCAGAAAGTGAATGGTCTTGGATGTTAGAATATCCAAAATTCATAGTTTATTGTTTAGGATCTAAAGTATTTTGGTGGTTTTAGCTCACAAAACTCTTTTGTAATTATTCAGATTGGACAACTCTGTTTTCCAAGTTTGTCATATATTAGAACATTGTATCTAATCTGCTATAAATTTGTTGCATGCTTGCGGCTATGGCTTCAGTCATAATCTAGTTTAAAGAACAAATTAAAACAAGTAAATAATAATATAAATATTACATTTTCTTCTTCAACTTTAGGTACGAAGTTCGAGGGATAAGTTGCTGTTCCGTTGTTTACTACTAATTTAGGTTATTGGGAAAATTATTATTAAACAGCAGATTGTTAAAATTCAGAAGAAGGATGGAAAGGAATAGCGTTTTTATTTGAAACAATAGAGTCGTTTTGAGATTTAATAAGATTGTTTTGATTATTGTTATTAGAAAGAGTGGATTATTATAAATTGAATTGATTTCCAACTATTTCAAGTCCAGGATATTAATTTTCAGATAAATTGAGTTATTGTTATTATTATTATTAAGAGAAGGTAGGTGAATTTGATTATTTATTTTCGTGAACTCTTCCGTTATTTAATTCATCATCGCCTCTATTATTGAATGTGTCTTATAACTATTGAGGAGGAATTATAGAAATGGTCTTTTTGGATGGAGAAAGAGAAGCAGTTTTGTTTGTCTTGAAAAGTGTCTAAGCATACAATCCACCACTGCTGTATTCAACATCATTTTATCTGACTGTAGATCTTTAAACCTATTCGATATCTTTTATAAATTATATTTAAAATTAATTTTAATCCAAAAGAAAGAAATAGCTTTTATTGTTTCAAATTTATTAATTTTATTTCAATTTTAAAAAATATTTTTTATCATAATTTATTTTTAAAAATTCCTTTAAATGCTATTTTTTGCTTTTAAATATGTGATTTTATTTTAAATATTTCAAAGTTAATTCATTTTTTTTTTGTTTTTTCTACAAATAAGAAAAAATTTAACTTTTATTGCTGCTAAAAACTTTAAAGACAGATTTTCAAATTATCTCATTTAAAATAATATTGTTTAACTTTTTATCAATGTATTTTTATTCTATTAAAATCTCTATAAAAACTTATTATCAATAAAAATAAAATATTTTTTTACTTTGAATATTTTGATCAAAATTGGTCTTCCAAACCATGCAAAGATTTTGAGATCCTCCAGTAGCGAAGTAGTCACCAGATTGATTGAATTATACGGTTGTGATGTCTTTATCATTGGAATAAAGAGTGTAGATTTGTCTGCCTTAACGGAGATCCCAAATTTTAATCTTAGAGTCAGAGCCTGCAGAAGCAAGGAAATAACCAGTTGGATGAATAGAAATGCTGTTCACTTAAGCATCATGAGCATTGTAATGTTAAATTAATTTATTTGAACGGATATCAGTAATCTTAATTTTATGATCGAAGGAAGAAGAAATCAAGCAGGTTCCATCGGGATGGAAAAGAACTTAACTAACTGTATCCATGTGATCACTATAACTGTTAATTTAACTAATTTTAACATTATCATCTAGAGTACTATATTTGCTAACTATTTTTTAGAAATTCAAATCCCATAGCATCACTGTCTTATCGTCAGAGCCAGATGCAACCAATCTCATGTCTGGAGAAATGACACCAGAACGAACCCAGTTTTTGTGTCCTGCAAAAGAGCACATAAATTTCTTATCTTACAATCTCCAAAGTTTTAAAGTCTTATCATCAGAGGAAGAAAGCAAGTAACCACCATCTGCAGAGAAAGACATACTTCTAATAGCACCGCAGTGAGCCTTAATAATAGAGCATTTAGATTATCTAATTTATTAAAAAATCAATTAATAATTATCAAAATTAGATCTTAGAAAATAAAAGAAATAAATTCTAAAAATTAATCAAAGAGATCAAACATTTTTGATGATGATAAAAATAATTTTAATCATTTAAAACTACTTTGTAATAATTTTCTTTGGCAATTATATTAAAATTTTTAGAGCAGAAGTTGTATTTAAAAGTTAATTATGTTAACAGATAATTTACTTAATCATTAACAATTATTTCAAAAAAATTTATATTTTCTATTCTTGCCTGTTGCTTAAGTAGATTTCTATATTTATAATTTATCTTTTGATGCTTATATTTTATATATACTCTCAGGTTTTATTTAAGATATTGCTTGTACTTTTGCTTAAATAAAATTCAAACAAAAATATTGATTTTAATGAAGGGATTTTCAAGTGTTTATTAAAGAAATAAATCCACTCTTAATATGATTGTAAATAAATGCTCAGATTGTTTAAGCATACATATATTAAATTTAGTTATATGAAATTTAGTTGCAGATTGTTTTGGATATTAAATATATTTATTACTCTACTTTGAAATTAATTTAGTATATTGACCGAATAAATTTAAAATTTATCAGTAGCTTGTCAAAGCAATTAATTATAAAAATTCAAATCTTTTTTGGGGTTGTTGGTTTATTTTTTAACTTATTGATTTGCACTTAGATTTTCAGTTTAGCATTATTTTATTTTTAAAATAAAATTTAAATAAATCAATACAATCTTTAGTTTTCAAATTTAAATTGCGAGTTAGTTTTCATTTTGCTTCACCAAATTATTGAAAGGCTTTAGAATTTATAAAACATTTTAATGATTTTTCCTTTTATAAAAGCTGGTTTTATTTTTGATTGAAGTTATATATTTTTTATTCTTATCATCATAATTATTTTTGAATTTATTTAACTGAATTATTCTAAATTTGTTCAAAAAACAAAATATCTTATTTACACTGTATTCTACCAAAGACGGATCTATCTGTCCTAGCCACAACTTGCAATTGTTTCACCATCAGGACTGTATTTTACGCAATAAACAGCTCCTTTATGTCCTACAAATTTAAAAGGTCTTTGCTATGGCTTAAAATTCCAAACATAAACAATAGAGTCCTTAGAACAAGATGCAACTTGGCGCCTAATTATTAAAAAAAATTTTACTAAAATATCTGACAGCAGATTTAAAGCTGTAAAAAATGATTTTATATTATTTTTCATTTTATAAATTGAGCTTTTTTGATAAAAAATTACATTTTAGGATCAAAATCAGCACAAGTAATGATATCTTCATGACCTCTGAATGATCTAGACAAAGCTGGATCATGGGTTGTTTATTATTCAGTAATTTTGCTAGAAGTATTGCCAAGTTTACTTTAAGTCTATTTTTGAGATGCTACTGCTGATGATGCAATTGTTGTTTTCTTCATTTCTATGTTGTATTTTTAATTTTATATTTGTATGTCTTTCTTTGTTTGTTTATATATCTCTCTCTATCTATTTATTTGTTTATTTATTTACAAAGGCTTTAATACTTGATTAAAATTCTTTTGATTTATTTATTTATTTTCTTCAGAATTTAAATTCAATAATTAATTATTATTCAAAGCATCCAATACTAACTAATTGAAAATATATCTTATAATCAGTCAATTTATCTATCTATCAATGAATGTATCTACTATCAATCTATCTATCTATCAAAGCTATTAGTATTTGTATTATTATTGTTATTCATCCTCTTATTTTATGAAAATTTCAAATTTATTTTGATAATGATCAATCGTATGTATAAAAGTTGCTATCTAAATCTTTGAAATCTGTTTATTAGCATTGATTAATTATTATTTGATAAAGACAATTAACCATTAATAATTATCTAACTTTTTGTAACATTATAAATACTTTTTTATTATCATTTATTGTTATCATATCAATAAGCTAAAAGATCTACTCTCTTTATTCATTGATAATTGCAACTTTAATTTTCTTTTAAAAAAATTCAAATTTTTTATTTATTTTTGGAATTGTATGAACTATTTATTTATTTAGAATGAATAAAAAATCCTTTCTATTTTACAGTTATAAAAATTATTTTTATTAAAATGAAAATAAATCAAATTTTATTTTATTTAAATAACCATAATAACGTTAGTATTACTACCCATCTTCTCTTCTAAAAGTTTAATAAAAGCCTAAATTAAATACAAGTTTAACTAAAAAAATAATTTATGAACTGGTAAAGTTAAAATTTTATTTTAGAAAATTATTTTAACGATCAAAAAATATTTTTTCTTTGAAGGGATTTCCATTATTGTTAAAAATTAAAGCTTTATTTATTACTTCTTATTTTCAATATTTTTTTACTATTAGGTTTATCTGAATTCACTGAAATCTTTGAGCATATTCATCATATGCCAAAATATTTTTTCATTTTTATTTTAGTATTAAAATATACCTTTTTTGATTTACACATTTAGATATTACTTAAATTATTCAAAAAATTATTATCTTCTAAAGTCTAGCATCCTATGAAAAATATATAAAATCTTTTTTTGTATTATTTAGTTATTTAATAAAAATTAAAAATGTTTTATCAAAGGAAGAAAGGAAGGAAATTATTATAAAAATTAACAACATAAATTTATTTTGTAATTGATTAACCAATAAATCCATCAATTATAAAACATTTTAACTATTATTTATATCTTTTAATAAATTTCTCTATGAATTAAATTAAACAGATTATGTGAAATAAATTTAGGTTTTTTTAAGTAAATGTTTTTTATTTTACCTTCATATGATTTTTAGCAATAAATAGTTAATTTATATATTTTTCATAAAATGAAGTAAAATAAATGCTCTTTGATTTAATTTATCATCACAATTCCTATTTAATAAATAAAAATTGATGATTTTTTAGAACAATAATTGAAGTTAATAAGAAATAAATAAATAATTATAAAATTTCATCAAAATTTTTTCATTTTTATGCTATAATGTTTTAATCAAATGAATCCTATTTAATTGTTTAAAGGTTTTCTAAATATAAATTCATAAATTGAAAGAATATTATTTAAAATATTAGCTTCTAGAAACATTTTAATTGGTTTGTTTTAAGGAAATGTTTGTTTAAAATTGTGGAAAAAAGACTTCTTAATTTTAAAAAAGTAGTGCTTTAAAAATTTTTGATTTTTTTTTTAATAGGAGAAATATTTTTTTAATTTCTAATTATAACATAATGGCTCAATTTATTTAAAAGTTAAAGTTAAATTATAAAAATAAAGGTTTATTCATAATCTTATGAGTATTATGAACGGAAGCTACAGATCAGTAATGGATCTATTATAAAAAAACTTTCAAAAAAAGAAATTTAATTATGTTAAAATATTCAGAAAATAATAAAGTTTGATGTTGTATTTTTTGAGAAATACTATTCAACATTATATATTTGTTTTTTGTGTTATACATAAAATCCAATAAATTTCTTACCATTTTCTAAAACATTTTAGAGAAGTAAGTAAGTAAATAAATAAATGCATATTTAAAATCTAATTATTGTAGGAGAAAATAAGTTTGGCATGTTATATAAAAGAAAGGAAATATATTCTGCAGTAAATACTGAATTGAAAAATCTATAGTTAAGAGTGTAATAAATATGATGCATACAGTTACTGAGTATTTATATGCATTTTAAAATAAAATGTATTCTATTATTTATTCCATCTCTTAAAATAAACACTTTTTTAAAAATAAAGTGATATAAATTAATTATTTTCACTTGTTTTTTTGATAAATCTATATTCATTCAGTTCATTTTCCATTTTAAAATAGGAGATTAAAAAGAGAAAATGAATAATTAATTGAGTTTTTTATAAATTTATAGGAGGAAACAAGAGAAGTGTTTTGATAAATAATATGTCTTAACAAAGAATTTATTTTTTTAAAATTAATATCATATTTTAAGGTATTTGAAGATTAAAAGAAAATTATGATTTTTAAAAGTCACTTTTTGTAAGCCATATTTGCTAAATATATCCATCAATCATTATTAGATCAAATTAGTCAAAAAATGTTTGCTGATAATGTTTTTTAAAACATGCACCTTAATTTCCTCTAAAACAAAGAAATGTCTGTAAATTTATTTGCCTATGAATCTTAGAAAGTTAATAAAATTATATTAAAATTGTATTTTCAATTCTATTTCAAATTCAGCTTTTTTTCACTTTCGATTTACAAGTATAAAGAAAAATTATGATTTGATTATTTCATAAAATAAATATGGATGGTAAAATGTATTCATGAAATTCGAAAAATATTCTTTAGAAAGCATCAAATTATTGAAGAGCAATTGGTAATTTAATTGCCCTTTAAGGATTTTAATCTACGATTACCATTTTACATATATAAACCAATCATAATTACCATAGTTTTATTTCAAGATAGTAAGATCTCAGACTCTGTGACAGACCAAATAGAATCTAATATAATTTAAAGCTAAGAAAATAGAATCTAGATTAATAATTTTAAGCAGCGGGACAATCTTGAAGCGTAAAGTAATAACTTATTTACGTTTATAAACAAACCTTGAAAAATTAGAGTTGAAAAAAACTTTTTAAAAAAAACAGATATTTCTTATTTATTTTTCTATTTAAAATAAAAAATGGTTATCATTTTAATATTCATTATATTTAAATGAATAAGAAGATGGTTGAAGTAGTAGATAGATATCTTAAATTTATTCTAAAATGGTTGAAAATTTAAAGAGCATCTAATTTTTTAAATAAAGGAATTTAACCAATTATTCAGAAAAAGAAAATTCATTTAATTGAAAAATGAATGCTCAATGGTTTTTTTTAAAAAAAGTAAAATTATAAAATATAAAGCAAAATTAAAATAATTTGGTAATAATCCCTTTTAACATAAAATTTTTCATCATTATAATTACTCGGTCTTTAAATTAATAAGCAATTATTTCATACAAATAAAATGAATTTTATGAAAAAAGAAGCAAAAGAAATATGTTTAAAATAAATGCAACTTTTATTTATTTATCTATCTCTCTACCTTCTGACGTATATATATTTTGTAATTAATTATAATTTTTTTAAAACAGATTGGTAATAATCTATTTTTACAATGTACTCTTGTACTACTAACAGTTATTCAATAAGCATTTTTTTAGTCAAGAAGAATAAAGGAATGAAGGATTAAGAAAACTCTAAAAAATGTTAAAAGAGGGAGTAAAATCAATTAATCAATTTTTGTTTTAAATTTCATAGAATTTTAAATATAATTCTGGCATAATAAAGGATTAAAACATTATAATGTATTTTTTATCTATCTCTAAAAATTTCTGATAATTTCTATTTTATTGAATTTAATAGAAAAGTTATTCTTTTTTTAGAATTTTATTAATTTCTCGTTGATGATGTCATAAATCAATTTAATTTCTCCTTGGATGTCGTAATAGATCTTAAATAAACACATTTTTCTTAGTGTTAATAAATAGCTATTAATAGATATTCTTAAATATTATTCATATGTCATTTAAAAGATAATGCTTTCATTTAAGTTTAAATTTAATATTTCTAATAAAATAAAAGTTTTTTCGAATTAATCATTTTTTTTTCTCTACTTTTAATGAAATTGTAACCTTATCTTTTATGAAATTAAAGCATTAGAATAGACTCGACTCCTAATAAAAATAAAAGTGTTTTCGAATTAAAGATTTTATTTTTTTACTTTTAATATCACTGTAACCTTATCTATTGTGTAATTAAAATATTAGAAAAGATTCAACTCAAGCCTAATAAAATCTAATAATATAAGCGTCTCTTTTAATAAAGTATTTTTAAATAAATATTATCTGAATTTTATTGTGGTTAACTTATAGCTTTTATTCAAAGGCAAAAAAATCCTCCAAATAAATTTAAAGCTTAATGTTTCTTTTTGTTTTACATTATTTCATTGTCAATATGGTTGCCTAATTAATCTTTTATAAATGCTAAGATCAATAAAAGTCATTATCTTCTTATTTATTACGCACCTTCTTAACATTAAATTACTTCAGAATCAAGCTTAATTCAAGCTAAGATTAGGGATTGATTATTGTCTTATCTTATAAAATTTCTGATCGGCCTTAATAGATAATTAAATTAATAACAACATATTTATTTTTTTTATAAATAGCATATTTACACTTTCCTAAAAATTTTTTTTTCTCCTTATGTTTTTCATTTTTAAGAATAAAAGTTTAGTTAAAAAAATGATTTTGTTATTTTAAATTTCATAAAATAAATATTTTAATCTAGTTTTAGTTAATGTAGATTAATCTTTTCTGCTTATCCAAAAGAATGTAGGCTTATTTTAATACAATTATTGACAGACCGACCTATATTTGCTAATTCAAAAACTCACTAAGATTTATACTTATTTAATATAAAAAATAAATAAATCAATAAATAATTAAAAATTTACTGTGAAAATGGCACAAAATATGGATGACTATTAAAAAAATATAAATGTTAATAATACATCAAATTCAAATGCTTCAACTAATACTCCGACAGATGAAACAAGACACAGTAATCAGGATAGCAATAATTCAATTGCTTAAGATAATTCTATGTATGTGTATGTTGAAGATTAGACAGAATATGAATTTTTCGAATTTTATAGATAAATGTTTCGCGATGATGAAATTTATACTGAAGCTGAAAAATAAAACACTAATGAGTAAATGGAAACTACTGATGATAATGTAGATTAATATTTAAATTTTAATAATTAAAACTAAAATTAAAATACCGAAACACATTATCGCTAAACCTAATAACTATCTTAGAATATTAGTTATTCAGAAGGCTATGCGCACGATTATTAAATATAAAACAATAATGGTTATAATTAAAACAATAATGTACAATTCAATTCTAGTTTGAGTTATTAAAATTAATAATTCTGTTGTGATGATTCTAATGGAGAATAAATCTAAAATAACTATCCATTTTATCCTTAAACCTAATAATCATCTGATAATAATATATTTAATCGAGAAGGCTGTGTGTATAATGGTTATAATTAAAATTATGCTGTACATTGGTATTCTAATGCTTAAACCTAATAACTATCTGATAATATTAATTATTCAGAAGACTCTACTACCGCAAATAATAAGAATTGTACAAAAGACAAAAGAAAAGCAAAAGATGATTTAATTATTAGTCAGGTAAAACAAATATTTAATTTAAATTCTTCATATGAATAATTAAGAGAATTGAAGAATAATATTAAAAAAAATACAATTCGAGCTGTCCTGTAAAAGTGTAATAAATTTATTAATGAAATATAACTCTAAAAATATTTTTAAGGCCATTTGGTTGATAAATAAATTTTAAAAATTTATACCAGAATTAATGATATTTATGATGATCTATTCCCAAAATATCCAAAAGATAAAAACTTGAAAAAAACAGTTTTGAATGTTTTTATCAAACTTTATAATGAAAACAGATATAATTTTAATTACAATAATGTTAAATACCTCTTCTAACAGACTAAAGTTAATCAAAAGGAATATTAAAAAGAATTATATATTGTGAGGAAGATAGATTAGTTAAGAAATAAAAGTGATCTTGAAATCTTTTAACTTATCAATTGCTCTAAATAAATATTCAAGTAATTTTTTAGCCTTTTTACAGAAAATGAACTGATAATTTATCTCTACACTGATTATAAAACTAAAACATACCCTACAAAAGATTATAATGATTACTAATTTAGATTAGTAGACATTTAATTTACTCTTTACTTTATTAAAGTTCTTTTTATCAAAAATCTTTGAAATAAACTAGAAAAAATAAATGTAAATAAATCACCTTTAAAATATTAAATTTTACAAATAATATTATTTAATTACTATTTTTGACTATAATAAATTATATTAAATATTTCTTGCATAGCTAGCACTATACATTTTTTTATTTATTCTTATTAAATTGATCAATTTAATTACATTTTGTATAATTAATTAATTAAATAAGAAACAAACATTTTTCTATTTTGCTTTTGACAAATATGTAAAAAATCCTTTATATATAATTAATAATTTAATGTAAAAGTAATATCAATACCGCCTGGTAAATTAATTTCCCCCAGTATTCGGTATTTTAAAATATAAAAAAAATGATTTATTTGTTTCAATTAATTCTTAGAGATACTCACTCCAATATTCTCTTCATTATGAGGAATTATAGTAAATAAATAATTTGGTTATCAATAAAGTTATATATAAAAATAAATATTCTTTTATCACTTGAACACAAACTAACCAGCATAAAATAAAAATAACTTCACAAATATTTATCGAATACTAAATTTTGTTTATGTGTACATTTGAATAATATATATATTTAAACAAACATACATGTTACTTATCATCTTATTAACATATTAATTAATTAGTAATATTTTATATCAAAATGACTCATAAACTAAAACAAATTACTTAACTAAATTTTTCATCTTATGTAATTATTTCAAAAGCTTCTTTTTACCCTTTTCATAAATCTCGCATTCACTATTTAAAAAACAATTTAATAAAAATGCAAAAATGCTAAATAAAGTAATACCGAGACCAAAGTTCAAAAACATAGAGTTTCCTACAATGTGCTAAAGCAGATATAAGCTTAGATACTCCTTAGAATCTAACATCATTTCTCCTTTTATAAATTAACAATTATAAAAATCAACAATAAAAAATATTTTTTTATTTTATTTTTAATTAATTTTTCAATTATTTTTTTAAAAATATTTACTATAATAGGAGTATAAAATGCTAGAGATTAGAACAGTAAGCTAAACCACTACCTAATTGATATGCCGAGCTTTGAGAAAAATAATAATTAAACCTTTTAAAAACAAAATAAGATTTAAAAATACTTTTAAAATTAATTAATTTGTTTTTATTACTCGAGATTTAGGGTTAAAAACTAAAGGTTTTTACAGTTTCCTAAACCTGAGCCTAATGCCTAAAAAGATTCATCTTTTAAACTACTATTTCTTAATTTGTTAAATATTTTATAATTATTTAAAGGTATATATTTAGTTATTAATTTAAATATTTTTATAGCTATTATTTATTTTGGTAATTAATTAATAAATTTAATATTAATTAGGAGATGTTTTAAACAGTTTTTTTTTAAATTTTTTTTAAAGCTTTTTTATTAAATAACTTATAAGATTTTACTAGAGATTAAGATACAAAGTAGAAAGCTAAGAGCAGTTAGATAAACTCATAAAAATGCTAGAAAATCCAAAAGCATCAATCTAATTATGTCTTATTCATATATAAAAGATAAAAAAATGAAAATTAAACGATAAGAAATTCAAGAAATTTTTTATTTTAAGTTTAAATATTTTTAAAAAAAGGATAATTTTTAAGATTTTGTTTGTAGTTTTTGTAATATTAAAACTAATGTTGAATTTATTACCCTAATTTAAGATGCAAATTTGAAAGCTTAGAACATTTAGCAAGAAATTTACCTAAATCTTAAGCACCTTATGAACCTATATTCGATTTACTTTTTGATAAATTAAATAAATTTCTTAATTCAAAATGAAAAATTTTTATAAATTTTTTATTTAAAAGAATGCCAATCAATTTTTACGATAAATTCAAATTTAAAATTGTAAGGTTATTACAGCAAGCTGAAAAGACATCAAACCATGAAGCATTTTGAGAGTAAACATTGGTATTACTTTTTATATAAATACAAAATTTTTTATGTTGAGCAAAATTTAATTTATTGAACATAATAAATATCTTTAAAATTTTCAATTTACTGATATGGTTTACTTTTTAAAAATAAATAATTCATTTTAACAATTTTATCAATATATTGCTAAATTTTATTTCTAATAGAAATCTTTTTTTTGATATTAATGATTTACTCTAAGTTTAAGTTTAAAGTTGAGAGCTGAATACAACTTTCTATGCCAAGAGATAAATTGTATACACCAATATTTCCGATTTTACTTTTACTATTAAATTATATAAATATTATAGAAAATGAAAAGAAAAATAAGTAATAAATAAACTAATGCTTAATATTAAAAGGATAAAATGTTAAATAGGATTTTTTTGTTTGCTTTATCATAAAGATTAAAAATTACATAAGATTTACTTCATAAATATAAGTAGTTTACCTAAAATCAAGAGATAAATATGATAAAGATTGGCATTTTTATAAAGCTTAGCCTATCTTTGATATGAATTAATCACTGATTTCATTATTACTTTAGATATGAAATAATTTTTTATTAATATTTTGTTAAAAATCAAAGGAATAATTAAGAGATTTTTCATAACTATAAAATAATGCTAAATGTTAACTATTATTTTAGTTACAAGAATCATTTTAGAACTATTCTTATTCCTTAAAAATAAGCCTTTACCTAAAGTTAAGAGATAAATACTCCAGTTTCGAACCATTATCTAATGATAATTCTAAATTTGATGCATCTTCATCATTAATTTTGTTATTTCTTTTCAAATATTTTTTAATTTTCTTCATATTTTTTAAATATTAAATAAATTTTAGAAGAATTACTCAAAATTAAGTGTTAAATGAGAGAGATTAACGAATTTTGATACAGAAGACAGAATATCTGAACATCCATTTGAGCAGATTTTGTTATTCCTTATAATATAAAAAACTATTAATTAATAAACATATTTCTGATAAAATACAAATTAAAAAAGCAAACAGATTATTTTATAATTTTTTTCAAATAATAAAAAGTAATTCTCAAATTAAAAAAGAATATTTTTATGAAAACTTTAATCATATGATAGACTTACTTTATTTCATTTTAAGAAAGAAAAAATATAAAAGAGCTTTTACATAAAGTTAAGGAATAAAGTTGAAAGGTTTTTGCTATTCTTTAAAGCAAAGCCTATTTTAGAAGCTGCTTAACTGCTGATATTTTAGTTGCTTTTTAAAAAAATTGAAATAAATTTCATATAAAATAATAATAAATAAATAAATTTACTCTAATAATAGAACAAGAGTCGATAAATGGACACAATCAGTTAATATTGTGCTAAGGTAATTCGCTCCTTCATCTCCTATCCTAAATTTTCTTTAAGCAGTTATAGTTCAGTAAAAAATAAAAACCTAACTTAAAATAAATAATAGAAAATATGTTAATTTTTTTTACTTTAAATCTATATAAAGATTTGTGTACATTTTTATCTATTAACTGCTAAGAATCAACTTTAATAAAATAAAATTAAATTATACTTTCATATCATTATTAATAATAAATACATCCTCCATCTTGTTAAAATATTTTTTTTATTTAAGCATTTTTATTTTCCAGATTAGCAAATTTTTTTTTAGATGTTTTAATTTACTATTTTTATTATCAATTAATTACATTATCTAACTGTTTAATTATGAAATTCTTTCATCTATCTTTTAATGAAATTAATAAAAATTAAACATTTTAAGTCATAAATTATTGATAAATAACAGGATTTTTAATAATAAAATTGTTTTTGAATTTCTTCATTTTTTAAAAAAATTTATTTTTTTAAGGACTGAATTTTTATAAAAATTTTGATTTGAATTAGTCCTTTATTAATGAGAAACTACTGTAAATAATAATAGAATTATTGTTAAATTAATATTTGAAAAGGAAATTGAGAAAAGTGAGTGATTTAAATTTGAGAAAGTTAGTTTTGAATATCTATTATATTATGACAAAAACATTTAAAATAAAAAAATAATTTTATTTGTATAATTAATAAATATAAAACTATTCCCATTAATCAAAATAGGTTTATTAAATGATTGCTTTTTCAGTTTTTCTTGACATATTCAGAAGGACCAAGCATTTATTCAGGCTTAACCCATTGCTTGAATTATTCTTCAGTGAGGTAACCAAGTTCAAGACCAGATTGCAATAAAGTGAGATTCTTCTTGTGGGCATTCTTGGCAATCTTAGCAGCCTTTTCGTAACCAATATAAGGATTAAGAGCAGTAACAAGCATGAGAGATTATTGCATAAGGTGGTCAATTCTCTTAGTATCAGCCTTGATACCAACAACACAGTTCTTGGTGAAAGATAAAGAACCTTCACCCAATAATCTAACGGAGTGAATGATGTTTCTGATAATCATGGGTCTGAAGACATTCAATTCAAAGTGACCATTGGAACCACCAACAGAGATAGCAACGTGGTTACCCATGACTTAAGCGCAGCACATAGTCAAGGATTCACATTGAGTAGGATTAACCTTACCAGGCATGATAGAGCTACCAGGTTCATTTTCAGGTAATAACAATTCACCCAAACCAGATCTAGGACCAGAACCCAAGAATCTGATATCGTTAGCGATCTATTCATTAAAAAATTAAATTTAATCTCCTTGTAAAAATTATTTAAAAAAGAAAGATCTTTAAATATTTATTTTTTTATTTTAAGCTAATATTTTTTTATTTATAAATACTCTTGCTTATAATTTTCTATTATAAACTTTTTAATATTGCTTACCTTCATAAGAGCACAAGCAGTGGTGTTAAGAGCACCAGAGAATTCAACAAGAGCATCATTACATTGTAAAGCTTCGAATTTGTTGGGAGCAGTGGTGAATTTGAAACCAGTTTCTCTGCTAACTTCTTCAGCAATAGCTTCAGCGAATCCCTATTAATTTATTCAAAAAATAATTTATTTTTATATTTTTCTGTTATCAGTCATTTTGTTTGAAGAAATTTAATTGAACTCGAAAAATGCATAGATCAATTTTTTTTGAAAAAAGGAAATTTCCAAAGAAGATTTATCAAAATTTTTAGATTGTTCTAAGCTTTATTTGAATAGAAATAAACTAATTATTGGTTGATCCTTTTTTGCTATTTCACTTAAATATGATTGCTTGAAAAACTGTCAAAAAGAAATTGCTTATTAAACATTTATTCAATTATTACGGTGTAGGTGTTAAGACCAGTACCGACGGCAGTACCACCTTGAGCGAGTTCAGAGATTTCAGGTAACTTGGATTCAATTCTGTGGATGGCATTTCTAATTTAGGTGACATAACCAGAGAATTCTTAACCAAGAGTAAGAGGAGTAGCGTCTTGAGTGTGGGTACGACCAATCTTAATAATATGCTTGAATTCTTCTTGCTTGTCTTCAAGAGCCTTTAAGAGAGCTCTCAAACCAGGAAGTAAGGTGTGGTGGACTTCCATAACAGCAGCAATATGCATGACTGAGGGGAAAGTATCGTTGGAAGATTAGGACATGTTAACGTGATCGTTGGGGTGAACAGCCTTAGAGAAAGGTTGGCCCAAGATTTCCATAGCTCTGTTGGCAATAACTTCATTGGCATTCATGTTGCTTTGAGTACCAGAACCAGTTTACCAGATAACCAAAGGGAATTAGTCATCCCACTTACCTATTTTTAACAATTTCAATTAACAAAAATCCATATTTCTTCATAGTTTATTCAAAAACAGATTTAAATCTATCTTAAATTGCATTCAAAATATATATAAAATCATTTTCTAGCTATTTAAAAATATCTTTCATCATTTCATATTATGTTTTTTTAGAAAATGAAATGATTTTAAAAATATCAAAGATCTACTTAATTCTTATTTATATTTGAATAAATATGGTTGGCTATGTGGGGTTTTTTTAAGTATTTATATAACATTGTATTAAGATCTATCTGCTTCAGACTGCATTTATTTAAATACTAACTAAATATTTACCCTTAATAACTTCGTCAGCAGCTTCCATGATTGCGCTTGCCTTCTTAACATCAAGTGCGTATCTTTGGTTGACCTTAGCAGCACTCTTCTTAAGAATACCAAAAGCTCTGATGACGGATTTAGGCATTTTGTCAACATCTTAACAGATTTCAAAGTTTTGGATAGATCTTTAGGTTTGAGCACCCCACAACTTTTGAGCAGGGACCTTAATTTCACCGAAAGTATCATGTTCGGTTCTGAAGTTCTAAATTTTAAAAAGGAGAAATTAAATAAATAGATAACCCAAAACGGGCATAATGGTAGAAAAGTAAGGCATGATAAGATAGATAGATACTCATAGATAAAAATACAATATTAAAATCTATGAATATCAAAAAATTCCCTAAATTGTTTTGTATCAAAATAAATATTTTACAGCAGAAAAGCTGTAACGAGGAACCAATAAGCTAGAAACGGTCTTGAGGCTCTTTGAAAGCATTTTAATCAACCTAATATTTATTTATTTTTATTGTTTAGATATTCAAATAATTTATTTATTAAATTATTATATAGATATCAATAATAAAAAGATACAAATAGAACAATCCTGCCTGCCTTATAAATCTTATATGCACAATTATCGTTTGTATAATAACAATCTTTCTCTTTAATTCTAAATAAGTGCTTGCATCAGATTTTCATCATTCTTTTGCATTTCTTATCTTATATGACGAATTCATTTTTCTGCCACCTCTGAAATGAATAAACAAACAAACTCATTGTTAATACTTAATTCTAATTGTCAAAAAAAATACAAGTTTTTGAACAATTTTAGAAACCAGTCTGAATCAAAAAAGGGAATATTTGTGGATTATTTATGACCTATGATACAAATTAGCTTGCTTGATTTTAATTAAATGATCTGTGTATGATATAAACTTACACTATTTTAATGCATTCAAAATTTTAATTTACTAAACTTAATTTTTCATCGAATTTAAAAACTTTGATATTATATTACATTTAAAACTAAGAATCTTTTGTATTTATTTCAAATAAATTCAATAAATAAATAAAATAATTTATTACAAATTGAATTTATATTTTTAGAGAATTTAATTAATTTTAATTCTAATATTTTTATTTAGAATTGTCTTCAACCACTTTAAGTTAATCTAAAATATTATTTAAAAAAAATAAAATGCACTAAACTTATATTTTTAGAATTAATTATAAGCAAATATCAAATTGCTAACAAAAATAAAGTTTTTATTTTTAAAATAAAGCTAAATATTTCTATAGTAGGTAAATAAATAAATTAATACCTTGTTAAAAAAATAAATTTCGAAACATAATTTACAAAAATTTTATTTTAAAAACAATTAACTTAAAACTATTTAAATATTAAATTTTAATAGAAAATTAATAAATTAAAATATATTCTATTAAAGATTTTAAATTATTATAAATTTTACGAAAATATTTTTTTAATTTAATGTTAAAATTTATTTATTTGATTAAATTGTATAGCTTTTTTCTTTACTATTTTTTAAATAATTTTATTAAGATAGTTCATAAATATTTATTGATTTTATTTTAAATTAAATTATTTTGAATGTGTGGCAAGTATTAATTTTAAATTATGTGAATTTTAAAGAAAATAAAATATTTTAAAAATAAATAAAAAAAGTTTAAAAAATTTAAAAGCCTATTTAAACTGATATTATTTTATGCTTTTCTTAAATGGAATAAGCTGTTAATAATAATTATAACATGTTTTTTTTTAAGAATTTTATTTATACTATCATAAGAAATGAGTAAAACAAATAATTTCAAGCAATATAATTTATATAGACAATTTTTGAAAATAGAGCATATAAATATAATTAAATAATTAATAAAAACAATATTTTATATGACTATTGTATAAGTATTTGGAATAATAAGAAGAATGAAATTTATAATCAAATAATAGTTATTGCAGATAAATCAATTAAAATTAATTAATTTTATTTAGATGGATGGATATGTGTTGTAAGCATACAAAAGACAGTAAATTTGGTTGGTTGGATACCAAATAAGTATTTATTATTAATATTTCTATTAATTTAATTTATAAATTGTAAAAACACTATTGATTCATATGTAACAATTAAATTAATAATTCGAAGTCTATAAAGAAAGCATAGAAATAAAAATACAAAGAGATTTATAAAAAAAATTAATTAACTTATTAATTTATTTATTTATTCGCAAATACTAATATAAAAGAAAGTCAACAAAAACACATTTAGCATATTTTTTAAGTTTTTAACACATAATTTAAGTACATAATGAGCGCAGTTTATAATAAATCCAGGGTAATTTGAATTTATTTGAAGATGATTAAAATGAAATTTATGATTATTTTATATTTTTGCATTCAACCTAAAATAGTAGAAAGTTTATTTTTTAAAATACAGGTTGAACCTTTAACTCCTCGAAAGAACCACAAAAAGAGATTAAGTCCTTATATGTATTTAATACATGATAATATAAGAAAACAAGACTTAGTCAATAAATATGAAAGTTTTATCACTGATAAGCACAACTAAGTTTTAGGATTGTAATTGTTTGTTTTTAATTTGGATAATAATCATTGATTGTTTAGTGCATTATTTAATAAGTAGAAATTAATTATATTTACGAAATATGATCAATATCCTTAAATTTAAAGGAAATAGGCAAGAGCCAAAAGCAATTTAGGAAGATAGCAAGTCCCAAAACTACCATTTGAGCCACATTATAATCATGAGTAAAGTTAGTTAATGCAAAATATTATTTTTACTTACTATCATGAAGTTTGTACTAAAGTAATTTATTTTTAAAAAAATAGAGCCAAACGAAAAGAAGAAAAAGACTATTTACTCATGTAAAATAAATTACATCAATAAACTTCTCATTAATGAGATTGAATAAATTTTATTTTTAGGCACAAAAATAGATCTGTTGGAAACAATCAATTTAACTTATCAAATAACGAAGATCTGGAATAATCAAGTATTATTAAGCACAATACTTATGTAATTTAATACTTAAAATGAATCAGAATGACATCAATCAATCTAATAAATAAATAAACAATACTTAAATATCAATATTAAATAAAATATGATAAATTTTATTTTAAAGAAATTTTGATGCTGATTAATCATTGATTGATTCAGATTAATACTTTTTTAAATATTCTTTTTATGAAAATATTTTGTTCGTTCTGTGAAAAGCATTATTTAAGAATCGAATGAAAACACTATTTTGTTTTTTGTTAAAAGATGGATGTTTGTTTGTTTTAAATTGATTTTTGCTTAATTTTGTTTATTGATGGAAGATAAATTTTTAATATAATTATTAAATAGTAGGACATAACACCTGAAAGAGGGAATTCTGTGATGGTAATTTTGATATTATTGTTTTAAGAATTCAGTTAAAGTTAAATTTTTAAGTATTTAGATAACTATTCAACTGCTAAGAAAGAAATTAGAACTTAATCAAGTTCTCCTGGAGGAACAACTGTATTATTTAGAATTTATGATCTTTCTTTTTTAGCTAAATAGCTATATTTTTAGAAAAAAGGTTCTGTAAAGAAGAAAACTATGGGAACATCGATTAGGGCAAGATATGAGAAATTGAGGGATATTTTAGAGGAAAGAAATGAGCAACTAGAAAAGGAAAGGTTAATTTTTTTAGGATGTATTCAAAAAATAAAAGAACTTAGAATAAAATATTTTGGAGAAAGTGAGGCTTATTTTATAGAGTAAATTTAATTACTAATTGATTTAATTTAAAATCTATCTAAAATAACATTTAAGTCCTAATGAGAATGCTAAAAATTCTTTTGATAAGGAATATTGTGCACTTGAGTTATGCATTCAGCATGATCTTTAAAAGAGCTAAGACATAAATAAATCCATGAAAGAAGTAGAAAATAAAATTATTTAGCAAGAAAAGGTAAATAGCACTTAAGATTTCAACAAATTTATTAATAAAATAAGAAAAAAGTAAATCAAATTTCCAAAACTAAATAAAACATACATTTTAAAATAGAAGATTTATTCCTCTTTTTTTGTATTATTCATTAAGATTAATATGATATTTTAAAAATTTAATAAAATTTCATAGACTTAACCAATTTTGAATAATTAAAAATAATTCTTTAATCCAAATATTTAATTTTTACAAACATAATATTTATTTTTAGCAAAAAAGTTAATAAGTAATTTTAGAAATTCAGAAAGAAAAAGAAGAATTTCAATTAAAAATGCTTGAAAAAGAGAAAGTAATTTAAGAGCTACATAAGGCTTTAAAAGTGTCTGATTCTGAAGTTTAAGCGTTGTCTAAAGATATTTATTCTTATCAATCTAAATTAAGGGAATATTAACAGCAAAATACTTAATAATTAGAATAAAACAGAAAAATGGCTAAAAAAATGAAGGAATTAAAGAAAATAGAGGAATATGGAACCACAAATTAACTAGTATAGCAAGAAATAGACAATCTAAAGTCCTCTAAATCTGATATTGAAAGAAAATACTACGAGCTCAAGCATAAAGTTGGAGATATTTCTAGGCTTAAAGAAGATAATATTAACTTAAAATTAGAACTAGAACATAGAATTAAAGATCTTACTGTTGAAAATGAGAAAATTAGTAGAGAATACTAAATTTTACTTAAGGAATATAAAATACTAAAAGTTAAATTAAAGTAACAAGAAGAAAAATAGGTTTGATCAAACTTTTTAAATAATAATCATTCAAAATACAAATTAAATGCTTCATTATATGACTAAATAACAAAATAATTTCTCATAAATATAAGATTTAACTAAAAAATATTTACATTATTTGTACAAAATAAAATATTATATTTATATAGTTGTTTGTAAATAGTTAAATAAAAATTATACCATAAAATTTAATTAATTAATTATATTAACATGCATATAGGTTATTAACGTATATTTTTTATTTTCAAAATATAGGTGTTAATATGTATTTATAGGTAGGTGATAATATCGGAGAATCAACAGTATATTTTTTTAGAATGGTACAAATTAAATAAGAATATTTAAAAAAGAAAATCAATAATTTTTTTAATTAATCAAAATTATTAATTTCTGATCATAATTAATTAATTAGTAAATAAATAAATAATCAAAGAAATATAAATGGAAAATCAATAAAAAAAAAGGAAGTAATAGAATAACTCTTTAAGTATTCTATAAGATGTAAACATCATTATTATTCATTTTATTTATTATTATAAAATCATTTTTTTATACAAACAGTTAGTTAAATCTGACTTGAAAGCTCTAACTCATATTGACTTACAATTAAAGTAAGATATATATATATAAATATTTATTCATTCATATTTAATGATAAATTTATCAAAATAAGCAATATTTTTTTTAATAAAAATAAATATTTTTAAATTTTTTATGTTTCTATTACAAAATTAAGAATAAATAAAATTTCATTCATTAATTTTTTCATAAATTAAATTCTTTTATTATTATTATTATTTATAAAATAAATAGAAATTGCACTCTTAGTAACGAATAAGTTGCTTAAATTAACAATAGTTTAGTATAATGCTAAAAATTAGAATCTTTAGTACTAAATCTTAAGTAATAATTTAACTTTATTATCTTAAATTACATAATTACTTTTTTCTATCAATCTAATATTTAGTAAGGAAAATATTTCAGATGATTAGATAAATTAATTATTTGCTAAATATCCCTACATAAAGGATTATGTTGAAACTGGTAATAATGTGAGGTAAATAAATATATTTTTATTTTAATAAATCTTTATATATTCAACAAATTGTTTAATAAATTATAACATTATCTTCTTACCCTAGTTATTTCTACCATTAATAAAAATTAAAAAGTTTGAATCTTAAATTATGTTAAATAAAATATTAATTTATATGTTAATTAAATAATTTAAATTAATTAAAATAGTTATAATTTTATTTTATTTAAATAGCAATGACTAAATATACACCCAAATTTTGTTTTTCCTAAATTATTTTTAGATTAATCATGATTGTCAAGAACTTAGGTAAAATAGAACTAACTAACAATTGGTATTTAATTGATTTATTTTTAATTTGAAAGATTAAATGATATTCAAGCTTAAGGAGATATTCTATTAGAAGAAACTATGAGTAATCTAATTAATCTCAACAGTTTATAGCTAAATTTAGAGTATACTTTTTTTAATTAATTTATTTATTTATTTTTTAAAAAAATTAAATTCATCTTTCAAAACTCATTAAAAATTTTCAATATCTAAACTAAATTATTTTTAATAATAAATAAAAGTGGAAATTAATTAGGAGATTAAGGTTCGGTTTGGATTTGTAAATTATTACATAAATGCAAAACACTTAATAACTTAAATCTGCAGCTTTGGTAATTTTATTTCAATTATATTTAGCATATCCTGTTATATTTATTGAATTATTTAAGAAGCATATAAATTATTTATTAAAAATCTTTTTTTGCAAAGGAAAAATAAAATAGGTGACAGAGGGATATCGAGTATTGCAGAAGGTATTAGTAGTTGTGCTAAACTTACGACTTTAACTTTAAATGCAGTGTAAATTTTGTTGATTATTGTTTTTTTATTAAAAAATTATTTTTCAATATAATTTAACACTTAATTGTAAATAAAAACTAAAAAAGTGAAAATTTATTTGGAAAAGAAGGTGCATTTTCTATAAGTACGATGTTAAGTAGTTGTAAAATGTTGATTAATCTAGATATTAACCTTTCGTAATTAGTTTTAGTTTTTTTTTTAGGGGAAATTTAAATTAATTGTAAGCAGTTTAATAAGTTTTTAATCAATTTATCCTTAAACATTTGTTAAATTGTCAATAATTTTTATTTATATATCATTTTATGTTTTATTAGTAACAATTTAATTGGAGAAGAAGGAGCATCAGCTATTTGTATATTATTAGGCAGCTGTTAATTACTTGAGAATTTAAAATTAACACTATGGTAATTTTTATTTTTCATTTTTTCAAAATTTAAAAAAAAATAATTAATTTGTTAATAATTTTATTTATTTTTCAACATAAGAATTTAGATATTGGGATGTAGTAAATAATCTTTTTTTATTATTAAAAAAAAATGATATTATATATATTAAGTTTTAATAAAATGTCTTAAATTTTAATTAAACATAATTTGCATTTATTAAAGCACAACTTAAATTGGGGATGATGGAGCTTCTACTATTGGTGCAGCACTTGGTAACTGCAAGTTCCTAACTAATCTCAAATTTAACATTTCGTAAAATTATATTTTATTTATTTATTTATTGATAACTAAAAATAGTTTGAATTATTTTATATATTTTGAGTTAAATTTCAAAACAAATTTAAATAGTTAATAAATTGATTTATTTTATTTGAAAAGGGGCAATAAAATCGGTGATAAAGGAGCATAAAATATTGGATTAGGTTTGAGTAACTGCACTCAACTTACAAATTTAGAATTTGACATAGGGTAAATTTATTTCATTTATAACTTTTAATAAAATTATGTCAAACCATTTTATTTAAAAAAACTTTGAATTTATAAAATGTCTTAAATTTTAATTAAACATGATTTGCATTTATAAAAGCACAAATTAAATTGGGGATGATGGAGCTTCTACTATTGGTGCAGCACTTGGTAACAGCAAGTTCCTAACTAATCTCAAATTTTACATTTAGTAAAATTATATTTTATTTATTTATTGATAACTAAAAATAGTTTGAATTATTTTATATATTTTAAGTTAAATTTCAAAACAAATTTAAATAGTTAATAAATTGATTTATTTTATTTGAAAAGGGAAAACAAAATCGGTGATAAAGGAGCATAAAATATTGGATTAGGTTTGAGTAACTGCACTCAACTTACAAATTTAGAATTTGACATAAGGTAAATTTATTTCATTTATAACTTTTAATAAAATTATGTCAAACCATTTTATTAAACTAAATTAAAAAAACTTTGAATTTATAAAATGTCTTAAATTTTAATTAAACATGATTTGCATTTATAAAAGCACAAATTAAATTGGGGATGATGGAACGTTAACTATTGGTGCAGCACTTGGTAACTGCAAGTTCCTAACTAATCTCAAATTTTACATTTGGTAAAATTATATTTTATTTATTTATTGATTAGTAAAAATAGTTTGAATTATTTTATATATTTTGAGTTAAATTTCAAAACAAATTTAAATAGTTAATAAATTGATTTATTTTATTTGAAAAGGGGCAATAAAATCGGTGATAAAGGAGCATAAAATATTGGATTAGGTTTGAGTAACTGCATTCAACTTACAAATTTAGAATTTGGCATAGGGTAAATTTATTTCATTAAAAACTTTTAATAAAATTATGTCAAACCAATTTATTAAAAAAAATTTTGAATTTATAAAATGTCTTAAATTTTAATTAAACATGATTTGCATTTATACAAGCACAAATTAAATTGGGGATGATGGAGCTTCTACT